GGGGGGGCATAGCATCCAATCAGAAAGGAAGAGATATTTTATTACATAAACCTCACCACATCGAAATCGAACTCAGGTCTTCACCGATCAACAGTGAAGAGCCTAAAACGTTACAAAGGAGACGACGGTTATTCAGTTTGACGATAGCAATAGTATTATGTGCGTAACAGGTTGCAACACTGATTGTTTTCCACTGAGAGTAAAATATTATGATATCGGTCTTTCAACTATTTACTGACAATTTTTCTTATCATCCCATAACTTGCAAATGTAGTTTATTTTATCTGTCTGATCCTCTAAAAAAAAATAACACACTTCAATCGAAATTGACCCCTGGGGTGTTTTTGAACTCATGCCACGGAAAACTCCCGTCGCACGCTCTTTCCAAACACCACCTACGGTGAGTTTATAAATCTGTTACGTTTGCAACCATTATACCGGATCTGTAGCCCTCTGTTTGATCATAAGACCCGGACCGTCTTCTAAACAGCTTTCCCGAAACTGCTCACAGTTCACAGACTTACTGCTCCCTCTCTGTCCTTGAGACGGGCGTCTTTCACAGAATAAGAAAAAGAACAAAGTGCTCATTTTGTTTTTGTTTTGGAAAAGATGCATCTATTTCCTCTTTCTCTCTAACTCTTTTTTTTTTCGAGCACTTATCAGCCAGAGCTGTATACGATTTCCCTTGACCTGTATTTTTTGTAATACACATATATTTACCCCACCCACCCCGATCAACTCAATATAGATAATTTAGGAGGCGGGCTTCCAGTCCTGGCCGTCAAGGCCAACCCGGGCTGAGAGGGATACAATATCCCAGAAGAAAAACCAAGATACTCGATAAAATTTCAGCTCACTTGGGAATAGAACTCGGGTTTTTTGTGTGCGACAGCGAAACGCCTGACTGTTTTAGCACGGACTCCAGTTATGACCTTTGACCCATGTAAACAAAGTGGGTGGTTGGCGGGTGCTCTGGTGTGGTTTGCTTCTTTTTTCCTATCAAACATCTATCGTCTTTATCTCCCCATTTTCTTTTTTTGTTTTGTTTGTTACTCTCCTGTAACACCTCTAATCTTCGGCACTTATATGACCTTATTCTGTTGCAAGTGCCGTAAAACTCTACCAAAAATTAAATAAACTAACCGAATACAAAACAAAAAAAAGAACATCACATCCACTGGACATGAGCAACAACACAACATTACAAACTCCTCTTCTCTTCTCAAAAAATAAGTTAGAATTCTATGAAACTGTGAATACCAGTACGTGTTCTTTTCACCAATATTGAGCACTGATTTAAGACTATAGGTTGAGCACCTAGCCTGGCTCTATCTGTTCTTTTTCTACGTCTGTGGTGCATTCTGTGCACCAGTCGTAACTCCCATACCGAAAATAACGCGCAGATCTCTCGGGGAGATAACCCTTTTCAACTCGCGGGAAAATCGAATTAATCGGAGAGTGAATGCCCTTTTCAAGTGTCTGCTGCTGGCACCGGTACGGTGGTTTGATAAACAGAGGAGTGGGGAGAGAGAGAGAGAAGA